TTATCACGAATATATATACAATTTATGTATCAACATACATTTTTTTGCATTAAAATTTTAATAATAAAATTGAAAAATACAAGATAATATAATTATCATACATGCCACGATTTTTTTACAATGATATTCATATAGTTAATACTAAGAATATACATACATGCCACAAATAATATTTACAATGATATAGTCATTCAAGATAAGGTAATGATAAAATATTTATCAATCATATACATACATTTACACAATTTTTCAAAAAAATCGATCATCAAAAAAAAAAAATCAAAAAACGCAGCCACAACTCTTCTTCATCCGAAATCAAGCAATAAAAATTGCTTAATCCGACAAATTACACCCAAAATTAAATGAATTACAGTATTACTCTAAAATAATTCATAATAGTACTTTAATTCATATCATATTTGTAGTTTGGTTGAAAAGAAAAAAAAACTTAAATGTTCTTCACAAAATCGTGACTCAAAATTGAAAATCCACTACAAATCCACCAAAATCAACAAAAAATACAATTTCTGATGAATAACACAATCACGACTAATTTCCCTCTTATTTCATACAAAATAGTGATCTATTTCATCTGTAATTCAAAGAATAACGGGAAAAAAAAAAAAACGTATAAAAAACGCAGACCCAACTTGACATCAATCATTTGAACTCGAAAATCCACCTCAAATCGAACAAATTAGATCTAATTGAACACATTTTATGATAAATAACACAATCACGACTAATCTTCCTCTTATTTCATACAAAATAGTGATCTATTTCATCTATAATTCAAAAATAACGGAATAAAACAAAAACAGAAAAAACGCAGACCCAACCTGACATCAGACATTTGAACTCTAAAATCCACCTCAAATCGAATAAATTAGATCTAATTGAATACATTTTATGATAAATAACACTATAAGAAATCAAAACCCTATAATATCAACAAATTATTTACAAAAACTTAAATACAATCGATTGCATGGCGGAAAACCAAGTTTCTTACCTGTTTTTCTACAACCGTTGCTTCAAACCCAAATATGGCTGTTAATCGTCCAAAATAATCGCAAATTCTAAATAAGTTCTTCTCAATAACATTCTCAAGATTAATAAACCCTCTGATTTTATAAAAAATAATGCCCTATTTTGTTTGAAATCAATGAAAAGGTAGAAACCTAAAAAAAAACCCTTGTTATTCACAAATCCGATGATTTGTGATCTAAATTGAAGCTGAAAGCTTCAATATATCGAACAATAAAACCTGCAAATGCTGTAATATTCGAGTCAAATTAGCAAAAGCAAAATAAATGATAAAAAAACTCCAAAATTTGATGATTCAAATGCTTTTATTGTGTCACCCGTGCCTGCTACAGTAACTTGAGCAATTCACTTTTCAGAATCGCCCGGTTCTGTCTAGACACGGGCGATTCCCCGTGTATTGCAGGAATCAGCATGGGGTTGCCGATTTCTAAGTCGAACCGGGTGAGTCCGGTTGGACTCGCCGAGTTTTGAAACACTAGTTGCAACCTTATATATATATATATGTATTTTACTTAATTTTATTTTTTTATCTATATTAGAGTAAGCATAAATGTGGTACTTCAATATCTCACCATCACACACTTATAACAAATACAAAAAAATGAAAAATAAAAATAAATAAATTTACCACAATCTATCCCTATAAATAGGCTTCCCATTACATTCAAAATCTCCCTCTTAAAGATGGGCAATTTGACCTATTTAATACTGCGATCCGTCTTTATTCTTACAAACATGCGGGTCTTTTAACTTTGGCCTAATAATGTTATATATACATATATAATAATGATCCTATAAGACGCTCCCAAACCCATGTGTGTAGTACCTCAAAGGATCACCATTAAAGCTAGCACAGATGTCTAAAAAAGTTATCATATGGGTGTAGGACTTGACTTTTCTATAGATCCGTGCTAAATTTAATGGTGATCCTTTGGGGTCCTACACATATGGGTGGGGGAGGGTCCTATAGGATCATTTTTCATATATAATAATAATAATAATAGTAATCCTATGAGACCCTCCCTACACCCTATATGTGTAAGTATATCAAATGATCACCATTAAAT